TTACTTTTTTGATAGGTAAAGACTCCAAAAAAAATTCCTTCCATTGTTACTTTTTTTTTTTTTGGGGTGCCTTTGAGTCAGTGTTGACTCCTGGTGACTGCCTGGACAAGTCCCTGCAGTTTTCTTGGCGAGCTTTTTTTCAGAAGTGGCTTGCCATTGCCTGCTTCTTGTCTCCCTGTTTCTAGCCTGATGCTTCAACCACTAAACCAGACTGGCTCTCTATAAGCATCTTAGATTGGAGAATATACTTTTTAAAAAGTCTTGAAAACTGTACTATCCAAATTGTCACATTCTCTTTCATGTCCCACTATATTCCCTGGACAAAGAGGTTTTATTTTAGAGCTTGTCATAAAAGGATTTTCAAAAGTCTCCACCAAATTTGGGAACAGAGAAACTGGTGTAGAAATGATTAATGTAAGGTTCACTAATAATGTCTTTCCTTGGCATCTAACTGAAGCCTTGGAAAACAAGAAAGGTCGCAGACCTCTTCATCTGATGCACAGAGCGGCTGGACTGATATAGGATTTAAGGAGGGGCAGGTTGGTTACACAATAGATTACAAGTGCCTGATCGATTAAGAATTGTAAAGTGTTAGTAACCCATTGTGTCTGTTGAGACTTTCTGAGATTAACAACTGTAATGTGTTAACAATTAACAATTGTTGTCAGTCTATCCACCCTGTGCATTGAATTAAGTGAGCTGGAGCTCACAAAAGCTTATACTTTTTAATTTAGAAAAGTGCTACTAGACTTCTCCTGATTCTTCCTTCTCTGAAGGAATGTCTAAAACAAATATTTTAGGTGAAAGTCTGAAGATCTCGCCAACAAATTATATTTATTTCATTTAAGGGCATAAGAGCAAAAGATTCCCTCCTAATGTGAATAACAGTTTAGATGGGTTTCACAGAGTCCGTGATGGAAGAGTCCATGACGAACAGACGCGTTCTGCTTTCCCCTCAACACAATCTCTCAAGCCTCTGTAACAGTCGCATTCATTTCTAAAACGTTTAAGAGAAAGGAACTTGCACATTTATTAGCATAGGTAAATTGACCCACTGCTTTTCCTACAGAAGAGAGAATGGCAGCATCCAGATCTAGCGCCAGTTAGAGCATTTTGCTACCTAGAGCAGACTTCCGATGCCTTCTCCTTCCCCAAGCAGCCTGTCCTGCTGTCTTATTCAATTCTTGCCTCTGTCTGTCCACCCAAAACAAGTCACTTACAAGCACCAAAAACAGTGTCCTTGTTTTTCCCCCTCCAATGTTCAGAACCCTCTGTTCTAGCCACCTTGTTAATTGATACCACAGGCATTTTTCAATCACCTGGATACTTATTTTTCAAGCCACAAAAATATGTCCCAAATCAAGCAAACCCAAAGTTTTCCATATGTTTTGGAATCTATAGACTGAGACATGTTTTTCTATAACTAGGGGAGAAAGAATAATTTCCTAAAATTGTGGAGGGAGGCAAACGTCCTTTCTTTTTTGCTGGACTAAAGAGACAACTGATCTGCCTGCTCTGTGCACTTGATTAACTTTACAAGAAATTACCTGAGCTTAATAGGCTAATTACATTGCTTCCAAGCGCCTGCCATGGGAATTAGTCAAGCGCCTTGTAATTTAATACACACTATACAGAGAACATGGAAAACACCATGCAGATAAATACCCATTCACAAAGAAAAAAAAGGGAGTATGCTGTTTTCTCTTTCACCAGTGCATGTTTGCCAGGTAAGTAAAAGTCTGTTTCATGGATCCACGTTGTTTAGCTATTTTCTCCCGTCTCCCCCACCAAGTCTTCTTTTTATGTATAAATTTTATTAAATGTTCCAAAAAGTTAAAATACAGAAAAAGAAAAAAAGGGAAAAGAAAAAAGAAAAAAAACAATTAAAAAAAGCATAGAAAAGAAAGAGTAACTTCCAACTTTTCTTAGTACAGGTGTAAATGTAAAATACATTTGCCTCTTACTCTAACCTCCACCAAGTCTTCTGATATTTTAAAAACACAGATTGCCTTACACCAGTCCCTACAGAGCTTTGTTTCAGCAGAGTAAACACTGACTTGCCCATCTCTTGAGGATTTCAAGGACAGATGTTGTATTCTGCAG